GCACTCCGATCAAGGTAAGCAATCTCGAGGACCATGTTGACAGGCTTGAGGAGGACCTGGACGAGCAGCTGGAGGCCGAGATGCTCAATCTCTCTGTTGGGACGCTCGAGTTCGGCACAGTAGCCGGCGATACCCGTCTCGCCAGGAATGAAGGGGGCGTAATCGTCGGGGTTGCCCTTCAGCCAGGAGCTGGCCAGAAGTCGCAGGTGATAGATGATGGCATTGGAGGCGTCCTGGTCGTTGAAACGCTGGAGGACGATCTGCTGGGCCAATTGCGGGTTCGTAACGCTGTTTGCCAGGTCTCTCAGCAGAGCAATGGTCTCGTCCACCATGTCCTCGAAGAGCATTCGATCGTAGCCGCCGATGTTGAGAAGGTACTGGTTCAAGCTCGTGATGCGGGCGATTTCGCCAAGGATCTGATCCTGGTCGCCATTGTTGGCGAGATGCTCAAAGTAGGAGAACCCGACGGCTGTGGGAGAGGCAGTCAGTCAGCTATCGTGGCGTGCTTCGGAGGGGTCGTATCACGGAAGCTGGTGCGAGGACTCTAGTTGGGAATGCGGGGTAGGTTGGTGGTGCACGGGACGGTTCGAGGGCGAAGGGTGACTTACCTCGCCAGCCGCAGTTTCCGTCGCCTTGGATGGGTCGGTAGTGAGAATACGTCTGAGGAAGAGCCTAGAGTGGGCGGCAACGAGGGCCGAGGTTAGACAATGTCCAGCGTGTTTGGTTCTCGGAAGGGGAGCTGGACGGGTAGGGTCGAGACTCACGATGGTCTTTGCGACGTAGACATCGTCGGCCTTTGCGTACTCGTCGGTGATGGCGTCGCTGGTGATCTTGTCGCCGACTAATGGGCCCTATCGGCGGGGAGGGGAAGTGGTTAGCGCAGATCCAGAGCAGAGGTAAGCTGGGCTGAGGTGAGGTGATGTGAGGTGAGGTGAGCTCGAGCTTCGTTTGCGACAGACAGACAATGAACAACAGATGAGAGATGGATGGGAGCTTAGAGCTTACCTGGAGCTGTGGCTGGTAATCCCGGGCGGCGGCTTCCTGGGCGGCGAGGTCGGAAGGGTCGCCGGGCTCCATGGTGGACGGACGAGTGCTCGTGGAGTTTGCGGTGCTTGCGGAAGCGGTGGTGTTTGTGTTTGAGGAAGAAGAGATGTTGGAGTTGTAAAAGGAAGAGGCCGGGTCGCAGCTGGACGAGGGAGCTCCAGGGAGGTGGTGCTGGAGGTGCTGTTGGTGGTGGTGGTGGTGGTGGTGCTGGAGGTGGGAATGGGAATTGGGGTTGGAGTGGCTGTAGGAGGAGTGGGAGTGGGAGTGAGAGTGGGAATGGGCGTGTGAGAGGGAATGGGAGCGGGAAGACGGCGTGGTGGAGGCAGAGGCAGAGGCCGAGCCAGAAGACGCGCCAGGGCTATGGTGGAAAGCTGCAGCAGGGTGAGGAGGAGGATGGTGATGATTGTGGCCGCCGCCGTAGCTGGCGGGGGATGAACAATACAAGCTGCCTCCAGCAGGGGAAGCTGCTGCTGCTGTTACCGCCGTGGCTCCAGCTGGTCCAGGTCGGGGTCGAGGTCCGGGTTGTTGCTGCTGCTGATGTTGCTGCTGCTGATGTTGCTGCTGCGGCACAGACACCTGGACTCCAGTGACAGCGACCGGCGCGGCTGCACTAACCGCGGCGACAGCTGCACCAACGACGACGCCAGCACCCGCACCCGCACCAGCACCCGCGCCCGCTGCGGTTGCAGCACCTGCTGCAGCTGCAGGTTCCATTTGGTGCCGTCCCTGCTGTTGTTCCATCTGGAGTTCCACCCCGCCCACGCCCAGAGATAGCGAATTCGACCGCTGATCCATTCCACCACCCATCGTCTGCTGCTGCTGGTGGTGCATCCGCTGCTGGTGATGGCGATAATGATGTCCATGTCCCTGTCCCTGATCCGGTACAGGCCCCGGGCTGCCGTGGTTCAGTGCGTGCCCGCTGTGGGCCAGGGGGTTGCCCATGCTGTGGCCTTCGGGACCAGCGGACGCCAGGCCCATCCCAATGCAGCTCGCACCCGACGGTGAGCCCACTCCCAGCGGGGTCGGTGAGTGGAAGCTGTACACTGACATCTCTCCTCCCATCCCGTCTCCTCCTCCTCCTAATACTCCTCCTCTTGCAATTCCAACGCCTCCTCCCATTGCTCCAGCTCCTCCTCCCGTTACACCCATGCCACCCATGCCACCCATGCCATATCCCCCTGCATCCTGAGAAGTGTGAAGCTGCTGCTGCCCTCGTGGTGCATGTGCCGAGTGGATGCTGTGAAACTGCGCCGGTTGTGCGTGAAATCCCGACGCAAAAGGCGTGGGCTGAGGCTGGAACATGGCCTCTCTGATGCTGTCGTCCTGCTGCCGCCTTTGGCCCTGCTTTGCTCTCTTCTCTTCCTTGTCTTGACTTCTGAGACTAGCCTCCTGTCTCCTGTCCTGCCAGTGCTTGTTGTGCCTCGTAGTCTGAGTCGAGGGAATCCTGGCCCTAATGCGACCGCTTGTTCCTGCTGGCTGACAACACGCCCTGATGTGCAGTCTCCGATCCTCGATTGGAGGAATAGGGGAGGGTGATGGGCGAGAGAGAGAGAACACACAGAAAGGAGTAAGCAGCCCGTGGGGAAAAAACAAGAGGCAGAGGGAAAAAAGAAAAAAGAAAAGAAGAGATGATGAATGGGTCGATGAGAGTGCGGGTGAAGGAGGGGGGAAACGGCCTGGAACAGTCGGGGAGTCGGACGATGCGATGCGTGAGGTGAGGTGAGCTGCGATCCAATCCAGTGCAATAACAGGATGGATGCCAGCAATAATACTACACCAAGAGACAACAAATGAACGCCTGTCCTCACCAACTGAACCAGGAGAAAAAAAAAAAAAAAAAAAAAAAAAAAAAAAAAAAAAAAGGACTGGTATCAATAACCCAGCACAAGGTACGGTACAGGAGCCAACGCCCACAGGAACAAGTATCGCGCCGTCGAGCAGGTAACTCGTCCGTACCTCAGCTAACGTGCGACGCAACGAATGAAACAAGAGCGAGCACACAGGGGGTGGAGGGTTGGAGGGGCAGAGAGGAGGGATATTGCAGAATTCGATGGTCCGCCCCAAAAAAGGAACAATAAATGTGACGAGTGGTTTTCCGGGGTGCGTCTGCCCGTCCCTTCCTCCTGCGTCTCTGCGTCTCTGCGTCGACCTCGAGCCCGGCGATTTGTTCGATCGACTCCGGGGTTTGGCGACCGAGTCTGCGAAGAAGGGTGGTGGTTGATGGTCGTGGTGGTGGCCTCGCCTCGGGGGCCAGGCTGGGCTGTAATAATACCTTGCAAATAGTTGGTGTTGGATGATGATGATGGTGGTGGTGGTGGTGGTGCTATTGCTGCTGTTGGATGATGCTGTTGCCGGTGTTGGTGGTGCTGCTGGTGACGCTTCTCTTCTGTCTGTGTCTGTCTTTTCGCTTCTGACCTACGGGACTAAGATAGTCTCCTCCTGATATGGTCTCGTCGCCTGAGTGAGATTATTGATTCGCCCTTTGCAGTAGCTCCTTCGCCGTCTGTTCGCCCGTCTGGTGCTTTGGACACACAGATCAAGACGTGAGGAGGGTGTGCACAGCAGCTGGATCTGGGAATGGCGCTGATGCTTGGTGCCAGACGAGCCGAGCTGAGCGGTGGGTGGTTGACGAATGGCGGCCAATGTGGACAGGACTGGTCGATGTGATGTGATGCGAGTGTGCAGTACCGTGCCGCAGCTAGGGATCGGAGGGTAAGGTACAGCAACGGAGGTAGGGCAGAAGAGGCCCGGTATCACGGTTCGAGCTTGGGAGAGGCTGGCTGGCTGACTGACTGACTGACTGACTGACTGGATAGATAATCAATAAGACAGACCACCCTCAATCCACCAAATAAGGTTAGATGGAGACCCAGGTTCAGTCTTCTCACAACTGAAAAAGGTGTGAGGATGGAGGTCTTCGAAGATGAGTAGAGGAAGAGAAGAAGAAGAGGGAGGGAAAGAAAGGACAGGAAGCAAACTGGTCCAGGAAACACAAGGGCATTTGAGGGCCAGTCAAGTCCCGTCGATGCACACAGGCCAGGAGACGGGAGACGGGATACGGGAGACGACACAAGCAAGGCGCACAAGAGCGAGCGAGGACGACGCGGATGTTGTTCTAGGGTTACGATGGTTGCACCGGCACGGGCACTGGGAAGCTACCTGGCTAGCATGACACGACCCCGGAGCGGCATCATCAGTACCACATCAAGGATCTCCAGCAGGGAGCCTCGGGTTCGGGGATGTGATGTGGACAGAGGCGGAGGAGGAGGAGTAGGAGGATATGGACATGGAGCAATATCACAACGGCGTCAGGATGATGATGACGGAGAGCGATGCCGGCAACCAGGATGGTAGGCATGCACAAAGTAGGGGTATCCGTACCTCACGAACCCGCCCTCTGGATACCTCACTCCCATCAGATACCTTACCTATCCAGCAAGCCTACTAGTATGTAAGGTGCAGACAATCACCACACATGCCAGCCGTGTCCGCAGTGTCCGCGGTGTGTCCTATCGTAGCTACTCGTACGCATTTACGTATTGAGAGAGAATGATGTGCGGACGGCAAGGCACGTACATGTCATGTAAGACAAGGCATGGTGAGGCAGGGCATGGGGGGGGGGGGGGGGGGGGAGAAAGAAGGAAAATAAACGGGCAGCGGCCGTTTCAATTCCATTGTGTGAGTGCCACCAGGCTGGACGGGGGTGGCATGCCGCCAGATGGTTGGCTGGCACTGCTGGTACAGACTCACTGGCTGCATCGCATCGTCCGCATGGCATGGCACGATAGCGTCGATGGTTATGATTATGATGAGGTGGGTGCCGATGGCGGGAGACTACCTATCGAGAGACCAACGGCAATAGTGGCGCCCACCAGCAGCCCGCGCCCGTCGGCCGGGTTTCTGAGGCGAGTCCACGAGTCCAGTGAGTTATGAATAAATGAGCAGCGAGATAATCATCAAGACGAGCGATGCCCGTCCTGTCTCCGTCGTGTGTCCTCATCCCCGTCCCCATCCCCATCGACCCCCGATACGTGCCGTCTTCCCCCTCCGAGAGACAAAGAGAAACAGCCGCGGACTCTACTCTGTGTCTGTGTAGGATCGAGAGAGCGGCAGAGACAGAAAGAGAGAGACTGCCAACCCCCGGTCCCGTGTCGGGTCTGGCCTTCTCGCCTGGCGAGGTCTGGGCTGGTCCGCACCAGGTCTTGCTGCATCCCGTGCACTGCGTCTTCTCAGGCAGGCAAGGTACGGATTGGCTGCGTCGCAAGCAGGGAAACCAGAGGACGGGGTTGACGGGGTCGCGGTTGGCAAGGAGGTTGATCGAGAGAGAGAGAGAGCGGCGTAGCACGGTGATATCGTGACATTACTTCCTAAGTTCCTCTCTCATATGCCCTCGCATCACTAACCTCTATGTGTAGTAATCCGCCTGTGCCCACGAGGGATTCACGGGAAGAGGGGGGGGGACTTTTATTGGATCGATCCATGGCTGCGTCTGGCCCGGGCACCCGGCCAAGTGAAGTCTTGCTATTTCCTCGCCGACTTGCTATTTCTTCACAGAAAGGGCAATGCTTGTCTCCTCTCCTGCGTCTGCACCTTCACAGATACATACTCGGATACCTAGGAAAGGTAGGTACGGATAGGCGTGGCTGGTTGGTAGGATGTCCATGTCCAACGCTGCTGGCTTGTTTCTGGAGGCGTTAACCTTGGATGTTTCCCGCAAATCCTGCCCGCTTGTGTCGAGGAAAGCAGGAATAAGAAATGGTCCTCGTCTCAAGCCTCAAGTCACGCTCTTTAGCTTCTCCAGCATCCTCCGTTTCAACCGTCTCGTCCCATCCCATCCTATCCCATCCATGATCCCGTCCGTTTCTCCTCATCTCATCCTATCCTCCCTCCCTCCCTCCACCTCTTCCCGCACTCACTGTGACTCCCTAATCCCTGTCTGCGAGGATCGTCGAACAACATGCCATGCCATGTGTAACATGCAGGGAGCCCCCCGAGCCTTCAACATCCAACAAACCATGGTCCAACGACGGACAGGACTTTCTGCACATCCACGCCTCGACCACGACGGACGGCAGGACTTTCTCCTTTGATCAGCGTCGGGTCTAAGAAATCAACAACAAACCGCCGACGGCCACGGGCGCTCAGTACCACCCATACATTGTACGCCCGCTCCGCAACCAGAGCAGAGCAGCCCAGAGCAGAGCTCGACCTCAAATTCGCAAGGGTGGCATTCCAGGGTCGAATCGAGCCGGGGGGAAGCCCTGGCCTTCACCGTTCGAGCTAGCAGGGGGGGGGTCGCTTTCTCTGTGTGCCCATGACATCGCGAGTTGTCTTTCGAAATCGGGCAGGGTTGGCACGAGCATCGCATCCAGGGCAGGGCGTCCAGTGCCAGTCGAGGCCAGGGCAGTCGAGGGCCGCTGCAAGACCCGTGGCACCCTCGACGAGCGGGTGACTGTCCTCTGTATGGTCCATCACACCTCACGGAGCTCGCATACATACCTTACATACCTTGCCTTACGGTACTATGCAGCCAGTACCTTAGCTAAGGTAAGACGCGATGGCGCCCAGCAGCAGTCGTCACTCTCGACAGACGCAGTAGCGACAACCTAGCACTCGCTCACTTAGCCCGAGAGCCCCAGCCTGCCTGCGTCTGTGGACGAGCAGCAGAGCACACAGACGCACGCCGCCCGCGGTGGGCAGACGCTGATGTTGTATTCGGGCTCTCTGTTAGCGCTGATCCAACTCCATCCATCGTGATCCCCTCTCCACACTTTCCGTCCGCCCTCCTCCACTGACACTGACACTGACGCTGGCACTGGCACTGGCACTGGCACTGGTTCTGCCACTGGCGCGCTGCTCCGGACATCGAAGCTCTTAGGCCGGGCCCAGAGGAAGGTATCTTGGGTAGCCTGGAGGTACACACTTTACCATCACGCTACCAAGCGCGACGTACGTAGCGCCGGCTGCCAAATTGCGAGCTCTTCGTCTGCGCGGTTTGCGTTGGGCCTGCCCTGATCCTCTCCGCTCTATGCCAATGTTTCTCGTCTCGCGGCCTGGACAAGGATGTTCACAGTGGCTGTGGACATGGCGAGACGACTTGCATCGCGAGAGTCCAGTGAGCACCCATGAGTCGGGGAATCCTCCGCCAACGACTTTGAACGCCTCCGACTGGTCTTCTTGAACAAGAAACCACTGTCGACTCGCTTGATTGCTCGCTACCTCGCCTACTTGTCTCTCTGTCTTGTTGGCCCACCAAGGTCTCGCCAACGAGGGGGGGAGAAGGACGGCAAGATGGGCTGCGAACGGGATAACAACGGCAATGCCATTCTCCCTGATGGGCCGACGAAGTTCATCACCACCCCTCGTGGCATTACAGATCGCCCCCTTCTCTATGCGCTGTCGTTTCTTTTTCTCGTTTTCCGGTCTGTTGCTATTACTCCTGATACTCACGGATGCTGCCGTTTGGCCGTCCTTAATTATGCGCCTGTGTTCTGGCCGTGGCCACTTTGCAGGGCTTCAAGCGCAGGCAAGCGCATCCATCCAACAACATTCCCAACAACTTGCGCCGTGCCAATGGCCTCACTGGCTGTACTTGTCTGGTCTGCTTCGAGTTGACTGACTGGACTGACGTTCCCACGGAGCAGGCTTACACAGAGTCTAGGCCTCGATTCGATACACCATGACACGCTTACCTTACTTGGAACATGCTTGTCACTTGCTGACGGTTGACGGTGGCCGATTCTGTTCTCCGGCTGCAGCCGTCAGACGTTTCCCACGGACAACTCAGTGTTGCTGCCGACACAGCAAGCAGCCATGACTTCACTGGACGGATCTCAGCCGAGGAACTCTGATGGCAACATGTCACAATGGACCACTTCTATCACAGCATAGGCACCGCAGAGAGAAAATCTGCCCTGCGGTTAGGCGATACCGCATGCACTTTTCCTCGAAGCGAGGCCTCTCCGATGGCGCCATGGAAACAGACGGCCATTGATGTTGAATTGCCAGAGCACACGAGCCCGATGTTTTGTGGGCAACGAAACGTGGGCATCTATCAAAAGAGCCACTCCTTGGTGGGAGAATCCCATCAAAGACAAAATGCAGAGTGGACATGAATGGGGCAAAATGCCCTGGGTTGTACGGGCTAGTTCTTGGCTGCGAGAACCGGCTCAACCGCCTGTGCAAGATCCACGCTTGGCCGCGCACGAGTCCTTCGCCGGATGGGGTGCCCCATATACCCAATAACGAAGCATCTTGGTATGGATTCCAAGACGTTTGACGCGGGAGAAACTGGGCCTTGATATCGATTTTTTCCCGGCCCAAGACGCTGTCTTGAGTGCTAGCTCCATACTGATGCATACAGACGACATTTGCACTGTCGATCACTTTGCACTACCGTCTCGCCACTCATTCTGCTCCGTCTCCTTGACGGCACGGCATGCAAAAGGCTTCGTCGATGCAGAATGGAAACAAAATGACAGACATCGGCCCAAGGCCGGGTTGGCGCCAGCACACTCGGTTCGACGATGTCGCATCGATGGGACACTTGAGGCGCCGCAGTTAGTGGGATACCTTATCAGCCTTTTAGCTGCCGGTAACTTTAACGGAAACGCCTTTGGAAAAAAAAAAAAAAGAAACCGTATCCTCCGAAAGAGGCGTGGATCGCTTCGCATCCGACGCGCTTGTCGGCCCCGAGAGGGCCCCAAGGATGCGCTGCTTATATGCAGACTCCCTATTTTTCCTGTGCTAGAGCAACTGCTTTTCCTGTGTACTCGCTATTATCGTTACTATTATCGTTGCTATTATTGTCTACGTCGTCTATCCCCGTCGTCCCTCGTCGTCGTCCTAATGAAAGTCACTGGATACAGAGGAAATATAGCAGCCCAGACACGGGAAAATTAGGCGCTCCTTACATGAGCCGGCACCAGAACAGAACACCGCCAGTCGGGTTGTACCCTCGGGCTTCTCATACTTAATACTCTATTGCTCACACTGCTGTGAAGCAATATCCATTGCCGTATGGAAAGCCATAGACTGGCCTTTCGCGGTGTGCTCAGCTCCCACACCCGCAATCCCAAACGCTGTTCCGTCTGCCAGCAGAAAGGACGGGATGTCTGGCAGCGACGGATCCTGTGGGATTCGCAAGGATCCATGCACACCCGTCGAGGGACGTCGCTCTTTGCTGGGGTCATCGAGTCCCCAGGGGTCCCGTCTCGCACCGAGAGCCCCGAGTAATTCAGCCTGTGGAAAATCAAAGCAACCGCATGCTACAAGTCAGACAGCATTCACTCTGTCCCGCTGGCTGGGCACTTCGACCAATCTGAGGGGCGTCCGTCAGAAACCGTGCTTGTCTGACAAGTCAGTCAGGCATGTCACAACTGCTAGACCATGCGGCTAACTGGAGCTGTGGAGCGGGTGGACGGTTAGTTCCGCCCACGATGAGGGCCTGCAACGCGGTTTGCCCAAGCGGAAAGCAAACTTGACAATGACAATTTTGCGAAATTCGGTCCTTCAGTGGTGGAACATGGAGGCGTCTCGGGATCTGCGCCGTCCGTCCCCCACTCGGTGCGCTACCCAAGGATGAGGCAAGGAATACAGAGAATTCTGCAAGGCTTGTTGGGCGATCCAAGTCTTTTGCCCTTCTCCTGCCAACCCGCGTGCAGTACTTGTTGGGTCATGATCCTCACGAAGGGCCAATACAGTTCGCAAGACTTTCCATTACGGGATGAAGACGGTCATCTCAGCAACCGCATCAACAAATTGGCTTTTTCCAGATGTAACCCATCTCGAAAGAGGCCTACCGGTTTGAATGAATATGACCATGTTACGGATACAAGAGATGCCAAAGGTCCCCAGCAAACGAAAAAGATCCCCGGCACTCCAGCAGACTACGCATACGAATCGATACAACCATGACGCAGTAAGGAGCCCAGAGCTCCAACGAGGCTTCATTATGGCTGTCGTACACGCTGAGCCAGGTACACCAATCTCAGGTCAGATGAGATAGATAACTCGAGGCGCAGCTTGCCGTCCATGGTAATAGTTCTTATGCAGCTTTCTGCGGCACGCGGTATGCTTTACTTGCCCCCTGGCAAACATAATGCCAGATGCTGCTGCGAGCCTTGCGCTGTAACCCCGGGATTCTGGTACTTTTGCAGCCCAGAACAAGAAAAAAGTACCAACATATTTGTCTTTGGTGGACGACTCTTCGCATCGAAACGCCAGCACAACTATACCCGCATCTCAAAGCTCGACTAATCAACATTGACGATGGCGCTGGGAATGCAAAGACATTCGACGGGCCACGGTCTATCCGTCCTCAATTCCTGGGCGATGACAAGAGACACATCCAAGCACCCAAGATAACAACCATGGTGCTCAAGCCCTATGCCCCTGGTCCTTCTTTCGGCGCTATCACGAATCAGCACTAGGGCGTGGCCTGAAGGACATCCAGCGAGCCCAGCGTCCACGATAGCGCTTG